GGGAGACGGATTCAGTAAGTGCTCAGGGGGAACAATTCTGTAAGTCAGTGTCACCATACAGTGAAATTATGTGTTTTGTTATGTGCGTGATATGTACTTGGAAAGATAATAATAGGTTTTTTATTTGCAACCACCACGGCCTTGAAGGAAAATCTGGCAGTCTCATCAGGGTTTTTTTCTGGTATTCGCAGGAGAGTAATTTTTGTCTTAGTTGGCAGACTTCTCTTTGGACACATTTTTCTGACCGCTCTCCCATTCAGTTACCAAGTCCTTGTGATTCTGCTCTCAAGACCTACCCACCACCCTGTCTTTCCTCACTCACCTCTGCACCAGCCTGCTGGCTCAGGCTCCCGTGGACCTCCCCTGGGAGATCAGCGCTGGCTTCCTGCCTTCCCCCCCGCAGTCTGTTGATCGTGAGCAAGGGAGCATTCCCGAAAAGAGTCACTCGCACTCATTTGTGTCTTTCGGCATTGCCGGGGGACCTCCCAACACGCCAGTAGAGTCACATGCAGCTTACACGCAGAAAAGAGGAGCTTGCATGACAGAAGCGAGCAAAGCCAGTGTCTAACACAGTGACCCTGGTCACTGGCATCGTCTGTGGTTGGCGGGACGGGCATCAGTCGCCGGCCAGGTGGCCGCAGTGACTGCGTGCCTCTGGGGGAATGGGAGTCTGGCGGGGTTCTGCGTGTGCCCCGTGGTGCCACCGGGCTCCAGTGCTGGGTGGTTGGAGCGCTAAGCGCTTATAGCCCACTAGGCATGGGGTCCCACTCACGTCGCTGTCCAGATGGAGTCCTGAGCCAAGCGTCCAGACTTGCGATTGGGGGTTCTGGGCCCCTCCGAAGGACGTTCCCATTACACCCCATTCTCGCAGTCTCGACAGAGCCCCCGACACACCTGTGGTGGCTGATGGTGACTGCCCGTTGACCGCCAACAGTGCCCAAAGAGTCTGCTCCGCTCTGCCAGGACCGTCCAGCCGGCAGCCCGCAGGCCACGTGCAGCCCGGGATGGCTGTGAGCGTGGCCTGACCCCAGATCGTAAGTCCACTCGGAACATGGTGAGAGTCTTCTGTGATTACGTGTCTCAGAGTATTTAACGTGCGGTCCAGGCCAACTCTTCTTCTCCCAGTGTGGCGCGGAGGTGCCAAAAGGCTGGACACCCTGTTGTACACACTACTCTTAGTCTGGCGACCTGGGGGATCCTTTAAAATGTGATTCAGATCCTCTCTGTCCTCCACTGGAGTCTTCCCATGGCTTCCGTCTCACTCAGAGTTAAAGCCGTGCCCCAGAGGGGGCTGGATGTCCCCAGGGAATTTATCCCCTGTCCCCTCCCTGGTACTGTGTCCTGTCACTCGACTTTGTGCTCATGTCACCCTCGCCACATCCGTCGTCCACCTGCTGCTTTCCGACCTCTCCAAGCTCACGCCATCCTCAGCCCCTTTACTCCTGCTTTTTCCGTCTTTCTGGACGTTTCTTCCCTAGGCATCTCCATGATTTACTACCTCACCCCGTGTGCTCCAAGGCCAGGCGAGCCCCCGCCTGACCACCACAGTTAGCGGTCCGTCTCCTCGCCAGTCGTCTCCCTCTCCCTCCCGCCACATCACTTGTTCGGTCTGCGTGCTGGCGCTCAGCGCTGCTTGGCGTGCTGTGCCACTTTCTTCACTTTTCTGTGTATTTTCTCTCATTACTTGAGTGGAAAACTCCAGATAAACTGGGGTTTTCAAGCTGTTGTTTCCTTTTGAATCACAGAACCTGAAACAGTATATAGCACATGGAGATATTTTTAAAAAATACTTGTCGGATGTTTAAACTAAGGATGTTACAACTGGAAGCTTGCCAGTGGACGAGCAGCTTGATAAAATACACCGTTTTGGAGCCACAAGACACTGGGAAGAGGTGTTCAATCTACAGAGGGGTACTTAGTGGGAGAGGAAGAAGAGAAAAAAAATGAAATAAAGATGGTGAAAATCCCATGAAAGTTCACAAAAGAGATGAAACTATGATCTGATTTGCCTGAAAATTGAAGGAGACGCCTTTTCATCTCTCTCTCTTTGTAGAGTTAAGAATACCATCTATTTACTGGGCTGAGCTAACCATTGGATATTAGAAAATAAAGTTCTTGAAACTTGAAACTTGCTCTAACACCAGATATTTAAACTTAAAAAAAATTGGCTTTCTCTTTAATTTGTAATCCTATGATAAAAAAAATTAAACAATTATTTAGGCCAGTTCTCACACCTAACTGCAGTATTTGGGGCTATTTTATTTTTATTCTTTATTGTATTTTTATACTATCTTTTAGTCCCCTTACACTCCCCTTCCCCCCAGGAACCACCACACTGTTGCCCATGTCCATGAGTCCTTTTCCCTTCCTGCTCGGTCCCTCCACCCCCTACTGTTCCCCACCCCACTAGCTGGCATCCTGCCCTCCATCTATGAGTCGGAACTAACAAGGAAAATGGGGACAGACTCAAAGATGGGGATAGATGTTTTTAAATATTCATGTCATTATACAGCTCAACCAACGCTATAGCTACACATTGGTTTCTAAATAAACTTTAACATTCAAACTAGAGTCATTAAACTTTTTATCTGCATTTGTAAGTTAACTGAACCTTGTCTACTTATTTTTGCCAATAGATGTCAGTGGTTGACCATCTTAGTGAAATGACGGTGCATGTGCTTGTTTTATGCTACTGTTAAAAGGCTAGCCTTTAAAGAAATGTATTGTTCCTTAAATGGTCCTTTTTTATCATTTCACCTTGAGAGGTAATATGTATTTATGAAAGGATAGAATTGACAGTAGGAAACGTTAATAGATTCCCTAATTGATTGCAACTTCTGAAATATTTAAGAGCTCTCTAGGAAGTATTCACAAAATTAAAATGACATTTTAAAAGGCTTGCTTTTTTCATGTAGATTTATGTATATTCCTCCAACCAAACACTTTTCAATATACAAGAGAAACTGCTGGTATACGTAGTGTTTTATTCACAGTCATGTTGGCTACAAAGGTTTTTATTGAGGTTTCCAGTGAGTTCTTTAAAAACAAATCCAGAAACACTGTCCAAGGCAGTTTGCAAATAAAATTTTATTTTTTAAAATTATGAATAGCTTTATGATAATTGAGTAGGCCTCTTTTTATATCTGTTGAGCTGTTGTGAGCATCCCATTCAACATGAAACAGTCTTCTCCTAAAGTCTTCACCACTCCCGTGAGAAATAATGGCTTCTGTTCCCTTTTCTGCTGTTTAGTGTCTTCTCCCTTCAGTGCCTTTTCTGAAGTGTACCTTCGTGAGTTAGTGATGATGTTAGAAATAATAGCGTGTGGTGTATTCACCTGGATTAATAACCAAACAAACTAACAGTTCTTCAGAATTTTCAAGAACAGCAAACCACGCTTCTCTTCTTCAGTCAGCGAGAAGTGCCTAAACCCCTGAGATATCTCAAAAATTGTCCTAACCTCGACTTTCTTTCTGCTAGAAGACTAGTCACTATGGTGAACACATTTTGGGGGCAATATTTTAATAAGGATTTCACTGAGCAGAACTAAAATGTATTCCATCATTTAGTGGTAATTCAAAACACATTTATTTTTAAGTTCCTAATGTATACCAGGAACCTAACATGTTATACACGATTTTTCTTTGTATAAAATAATTGTGTGTGTGTGTTTCAAATAAACTCATTGAGGGGGGAGAAAATATTTGCAATATATAATCTGACAAAACGTGTTACGTACAAAACATATGGAACTCGTACAAATCAAGAAAAAGGTGTTTCTCGATCGAGAACTAAGGGCAAGCGAGTTAGGTGAGCACAGTTTATAACAGAGGATAGCTAGTGGCTAAAATCACGTGAGAAGATGACCTTCAGTAACCACCTTCAGAGAAGTAAAAGTTAAAAGCACAATGCACCCACCACAGAATCTAAAGTTTTTTTTTTGTTTGTTTGTTTTTAAATAGCGACACCAAGTAGAGGCAAGGTTGTGGAGCAACAGGGCTCTGATGAGAGTACAGGTTGTTACACCCATTTTCGAAAATTGTTTGAAGTATGTTTTGGAACTGAGCATATGAAAACGTGTGAGCTGGTTACTCCAACGGGGTTGCATGTACGTGAGTGTGTGTGCCAAACAACACGCATCAGAGAGGCAGGCATCAGAGAGGCAGGCGTCAGCAGCGGTTTTTGGTAAAAACCCCGCACGAGGAAGAACCCAAACGTCTCCTTACAACACAGAGGAGGCATTGATTGGGGAATATTCCATACGCTACAGCCACACGGAAGAGTGATCTGTGGCTACGTACAATGACCTGGATTCTTGCAAACACTGAGAAGAAACAGGCACAAAATAATATGAGCAATTTAGTTCCATTTATATAAAATTCACAGCAGTTAAAGCTAATCTTTGGAGACAGAAACAATCCATTTATGAGGAGTGCCAGTTCAAAGGGGCCATGGAGGCTTCTAGAAGGATGGGAATCTTTCTGGATCTGGGTGGCTTTACACAGAAATGGGCACTTGGGGAAAATATTGGGATTTCTGTACTTTATAGGCTCTGCCCCCAAATACACTCACTGGAAAAGTGAGCTCTGTGCTGCTTCCATAGCTGTTCACAGAGTAATGCTGATATGTATTCTGTCACTTCCTAAAAACGCTCTACCCGTCCAGATAAAGGGTTTTTTCTGAGACTCTTCACAAGGTATGCAGATGGCTCTCTGCCTTCACTCATTTCCATTTTCATGATGCTAAGTGGGGGAAAGGACAGGACGCGGGTGTTGAAGAGGAAGTGAAATAATTATAGTCCAGACCCTGTGCTAAGCCAGGTCATTGAAAGCATAAAATGTAGTCCTGGAATTCCTTGATGGTATCATCAAAGGAGCAACACGATGGAATCCAGGGTTGCTTCGTTTCTACCTGATGTAACAAAGACATCAGAAGAAGCAACAGAGATTTTGCTAGCTCTGCCCATGAGGCAACCACATGTATTTTTCTTTTTTGTATTCAGGCGTACCTTGGAGGTATTCTGGGTGTGGCTCCAGACCGCTGCAATCAAGTGACCATCCTGATACAGCGAGTCACGTGGACCTTCTGGTTTCCCGGTGCCTATGAAAGGTATACTGTACTGTATATACTATACTGTTTATACTATACTGTAGTCTTTTAAGTGCGTAATAGCATTATACCCCCCGAAAATGTAACATCAAAGATCGCTGCTCACAGACCACCGTGACAAATATGATGATGATGGAAAAGGCTTGAAATTACCAAAAGGTGACTCAGAGACATGAGGTAAGTGCATGCGGCTGTAAAAATGGCACTGATAGACTTACCTGATGCAGGGTTGCCACCAACCTGTACTTGGTAAAAAAAAAAAACAACAAAGCAAAACAATGCAGTATCTGTGAAATACATGAACACAAAGTGCATCAGAGCAAGGTGTGTGTGTATATAGTTTATATGTGTATATGTAATTTACAAGCTTTATGATACTACCCAAATATATACATGAAATAGAAGAAAAATTATTAGAAAAAAAAATAGAAGTGAGGAAGATTATTAGGAAAACTCATACTTTATCTTAAAATTTCATTTTCTTCCTCTCTAGGTTTATGTGATATTTCTCTTGAGGTTTCTTACACAATAAAGGAAAAACAACTGTTTATAAGCATAAATCTTTCTCTTATATTTTGCCACAGTCCTTGGGCAACATCTCGAAATTTAATAAACTTGAATTTCGTCAGAAGAAAAGTGGTGGTAATCTAATGGTCAAGACCCTGTCTTAGAGAAGGTGCTTCTTGGGGCTCTTGGAAATTTGAGTTGGTGCGCGTCTCTCTGGCCGAGAGCGGTCGAGGGACCAAAGGGAAGAAGACGTGCTCTTGAGGACGGGGAGGCGGAAACCATAAAACAACACACAGCTTCCGATTACTGTGTTTACTAGGCCACTCGCTGTGGGAGAGGCGAGCGCAGTGGGAATTCTCTGGGCTTGGAGTTCGAAGACCTAAGTTCAAATCCTCATGTGTCACTTCCAGCTGAGTGGCAGGGAAGGACAGCCATTTCCAGACCATGGTTTCCTGTTGGAAACACGGGGAATTGGGACAAAAGATTTGCACGGTCCCTCATGGTTCCAAAGTAATACCGTACATTTCAACACATTTAAATATCAGCAATTTAAAGTGGAGGAACGAATGCCTTCCATATTCTAGGGAGCGCTCTCACAGCTGCTGCTAGGAAACAACACGGGAAACAACACAGATCTCTCACGGAAAGCCTCGGTCCCATCAGGGAGGCCTCGCAGCCCAGCCGGGCCGCGGGTACGGGATCTGGGAAGAAACACGGCTGGAGACAGAGCTCGAGTCTGCGCGTGCACAGCGCTCAGTTCTGCCCTTCTCTCGCTCGCGTGCACTTGCATCGGAATTGCCTCTGCACCATTGACTCCCGTGTCAGCGCACTGGGGCAGGCTGAGCTTTGGTGTTCTCCGCCCTCAGACACCTGTATATCGGCCTTGGCAAATTTAGTGAAACGATAAAGATCTGTGACTTTTGCAAAGCCCCTAAATCTGTTTCTGGGCACCGTATGTGTTCGAAACGGTTGGTTCCCTGCCGTACCCTATCTTATTATTCTGAAAAAAAAAAATGGTTAGCTTATTAGAGATGGTAGTTAAGAGGTCAAAGATACAGAATCATTGGAGAGATAAGGACAATAATACAGAATGCTTAATGGTGTCCCAAGGAAAGTCCCCCACACTTCTGGAAATTTCTCTCAGTATCTGTGGGAGTACCGCGCCAGGATTCACCAGGGATAAGATGTGTGGGTCCCCTTGGAGGGGCCCAGGAAGCCAGATGAATTTTCATTATTTCAAACGTGTGGCGCTGCCATATTTTAAGGAGAATGAATGTCTATTAATAACAACACAAATACTACTTCAAGATGCAAAAGCTTCATCCTTGAGCTTCACTGGAGAACTTAATTACTTCAGTTGAAACAAGTAATGATGGTCATTCATGTATATAACCTGTCCATTTAGAGATAGGTTCTTAGAAATTTCCAGATAATATGAATTTGGTTGGGCTAATATCATTGCTTAACATTTTTAGAGGTAGTATCTTTCTAATAGAATGTTAAGAGTTCAATAAATTAGCTTAAGAAAAAATGAAAAAAGGTTTGAGTTCGTTTTTTAAAAATTTATTTATTTATTTTTTAGAGAGGGGAAGGGAGGGAGAAATAGAGGGAGAGAAGCATCAATTGCGGTTGCTTTTTGTGTGCCCCCAGCTGGGGACCTGGCCCACAGCCCAGGCATGTGCCCTGACTGGGAATCGAACCGGCGACTTTGTGGTTCATAGGCTGGCACTCAACCACTGAGCCACACCAGCCGGGGCCGAATTCCTGATTACCTTCTTTAGCTTACCCCATTCTGCCTACAAAGCAGTGTTAATAATACAGGTTGTTTACACACATATAATCTTTAGCAATATCTTTAAAATATAACATTGGAGTTTTGGTTCATTAAACCCAATGTTTGTCTCTGACCCTGGTGTTACAGGACTAATTTTGAAAGTTAGTATTCTTCCTGAGGAAGCCAACCACAATGGTCTCAAAATGCCCACTGTAGTTCTCCCAGATAGTTTAATTTGCCTTTAATTTACTCTGTTGCAAGCATATCATCATTACTGAGTAGAGATTATTTTGGATCTAATTTTTTTCAGTTTTGGAATAACATATACTATCCACTTTTCTCCTTCATGTAAAGCACATATGTAATCTTTTAAAAACTTATTTCCTTTCAAGATTTTAAGTTGTACTGCCGTTTCTGGCACTTGAACGATCCAGTTGGAGATGTTGTCCCTGAGAGTGTGGAGCCCAGGCCTGTGCCTCGGTGCCCGCGGTGTTACAGGTCCTCTCACTCAGAGGCCCGCGCTGTTCCGACCCCTTCAGAGAGCACGTCCCAGCGGCTTCTGCTTTTCCGTCCCCTGTAGAAATGAGTAGCTTTGGAGTCCATCATCACAGACTGTTATTTGGGTTGGTTTTCTCCCCAGTTCCAAATGCCTTTATGTTCCCCTCTCAGGAGCGTTGCTGTGCCTTCCTGTAGCTCAGTGTCTTTGAGACGTGGCTTTGTGTGGCGGAGTCTGCGGGCCCTGTCCCCCTCTTCCCAGTATGAACGGAACGGCTGAGGGTTTTTAAAAAAGATTTTATTTATTTATTTTTAGAGAGAGGGGAAGGGAAGGAAAAAGAAAGGGAGAGAAATATCAACATGTGGTTGCTTCTCATGGGCCCCCTACCAGGGACCTGGCCCGCAGCCCAGGCAGGTGCCCTGACTGGGAATTGAACCAGCGACCCTTTGGTTCGCAGACCGGCACTCCGTCCACTGAGCCACGCCAGCCAGGGCTCCTTTCTCAATTATTTTAGTGGCTTTAATTGTCCAGAACATGAGAACTTCATTAGTCCTTGACAAAATTGCAAAACTGGTAGGTGATGCCCTTATTTTTATGTTTATTTTTTGCCTCGCAACCTCCTCACTGTCCTCGCTTGGACCTCGTCCTGGGCAGGCGTAGCGACGTTGCCCCTGGTCCTTGTTCTCTTCTCCCCCTCACGTGGTTGAAAGTGTCTGGCCTTCCCGTCTCGGCCCCTCAGGGTCTCCGTCTCACATCTCAAGGCGAAATCCGATAACCACCTCCGTCGACTGGGTTGTTACTAATCCTGGAAGCCTGAGTGCTTCCTTCCTTCCCTCCTTCCACAGAAGATTCCTCCTCAGCCAGAGACATCTGTGTGGACGCTGTAACTGTACCCTGTTGTTAATGCATCTCGGGCCCTCCCCGACGGTGGGATTTGCGCTGGTGGAGTGCGCTACCGAGGAGGGGGTGAGTGGTGGTTTCTGGAACAGCGCGACTCTCAGAGGTTGACTGTGTGTCTCTCTATTCTTGAGTTTACCAAATGGTACACTGTTCTGCTTGGGTTAGGACATTGAACCTACTGCATTTACTAATTCCGTAACTTTGGCATTACATTATTCTACATTGTGTCACATTTTATTTTTGATAAAAACGTTGCATCACATTTTGCCGAGAACATAACACAATATGTCTCACGACATTTGGGAAGCTTCGTGCTGGTTTCCTTATAGGTAAAACAGTGACAATAAACCCACACAGCTTGCCTTCCCAAGTTCTAGGTAATTTGGATTAAAAAAAAACGAGTGTACTTTGTGAATCATACTGTGCTATAAAATGCATAGCATTATTGTTTGTGATTAAATGCACTCAGAATACGGTTTCACATAAATACTCCAGATGATTTTCCTGTGTGACTTTCAGAATGTTCTATTTCAGAGTCTTAATCTTTGTTTGCTGGGGACTGCTGAGGATGTAACCGAATGGTGTAAATTCCCAGATCCCATCTTGCAGGCTTGCTATTTGATGAGATATGTGCATTCTCATAAAACAAAAAAAAAAGTATGGAAATAAAAAAGACCAAAAATTCCATGTGGTATACTTTACAGCTGCCATCTAACTAAAACTCCCAAATACAGATGCTAATTGGACTTTTAATGAATTATTAAAATAAAAGTAATGAATATTCAGATGTGTTGCAACCAGTAGTTCAGTAAACTATTGTTGAGAGAATTTCTAAATCCTAAATGGGTAATCATGGAAGAGCTTAAAAAATATGTCAAAACATTTCAAGATTCTTCTTGGATCGACGCTGATTCTGAAAAGAAGTTAGGTCTGTGTCTTTCTTTGTGCAAGAGCCAAGGAGGCCATCCTGGGGTGGGTCTCTGTTCGAGGCATGGGTGTCTTAAGGTAAATGTAATTTATCATGCTGGCTCCGGCTCTGCGTGCTCCCGTCCTTTCAGAGACTTTCACAGGAAAAGAGCTACTCATCTTCTTGGGGGGGTTGCTCTGGCATTGTCACCGGTGCCCCTAAAATCAGACAGTGTGGGCGCAGTGCGGACCGGGCCCACGGTGAGGCCGGTCAGACGCTCTCAGGTGTAACACTGAAAGGTGCGCCTGCACCATCTCTGAGCAAGATCATCATCTGCTGCAATATTTTGAAAATAAAAATTACCACAGAAATCGATGAGGACCAAAATGTCAAGTTTTACATACGCACACGGTCAGTATTACTGATTTTCACTCTTGCCTCGGGCTCTTACCGGCTCAGGACAGCACTGGTGACCAGAGAGGCGTCTAAAGCTGCACATTTCTACGTGACCTCTTTCAAATTGGTTCCAGGGGTCCGAAATGGGAGCTCATGTACGTGATCAGAACTGATGAAATAGTTGAATGTGTTTTCTCATTGTGTCTTTTACTTTCAAGAACCTGTGAAGATTTATCGTATCGTCTTGGTGAGTTTTGCACAGGGGCAACCGACCACCTTCATGTCACTCAGACATGAGTGTCCTCAGCCAGCTCCCCACAGCAGTCCGGGGACCTTAACCTGAATGCGGTCACCGGGCAAGCCTCTGGAATCTTAGTCACAGACGGAACGCCACGAGGTGGCCCGGTCTGGGCCTGCTGCCCTCCAGTTTGGCCGCACCGGGTCTCCGCGCCCGGGTGGGGTCTGAGTCTCCTGCCTGCCCCGTCCCCTCTTCTGGGCTGCAGGAGTTGGCGGCTGCCTCTGAGGGTCGTCTGCCGCAGACGCTGTCGGGGTTTGGAGCAGAGTCTCCGCTGTCCTCAGCGCATCTTTGGTATTTCAGGGATTGCTTTCCGTTCTTGGAGAATCTTTCCATCTTTTTTGGCAGACTCAAATTCACTCTTTTTTCCCTCTTCTCTTGGAACTCCTCTGTTAATCTCTCAGGAAAGAGAAGATCTCGACAGTGCTAAGGAAGTCTGTTGATGTCAAATGGTTTCAACTGCCCTCTCTGCAAATACTCTTCTTTAAGAACCTTCAAGTGCTTTTCTTCGGGGAGAAGAAAATGTTGGTAGAATAAACATAAATGATCTGTTTGACCTCTGCAACGGTTTTGACGTGTCCGTGGGGTTAGGTTGATCCTAGCATGTTCGTGGGCCCCTCCGCTGTCCTGACCCCCTGACCCTGGCGTGTTCCTGTGTTTGACCAAGGTCGCTTTTGCTTTGCGCGTCTCTCTTCAGGTATGTGTGAATAAGCGTACTTCTTACATCACTTGATCTTCTTTCTACACATGCACAGACCTTTTAAGACAGCAATCTCACTGAATCAAGATGCAATTTCCAGGTTGAAAAAAGAAGATGATTATTTCCGTAGCGGATCAGTGTGAAATAACAGGGGCCGGGCCATCTTTCCCGTGAACGACCTTGCCGAGCCCACGCAGCCCGGCCCAGGAAGACGGGGTGGGGTGCGGGCGGTGCTCCGGGTGCACACGCCGTGGGTGCGACGACTCCCGGCCCCGCGCGCGCGCGCATCTGAACTAACTCTCCGCATCGTGTGCAGCACGCCGTTTTCTGTTCTCCAGATGGAGTTAGGTATCAAGTTACAAAGTTCAATTTCCCTTTTTGTTACTATATTTTCTAAGGAATAGTAAAAAAATATAGAACTTCAAATCACATGACAGAGAAAAATTAACTTTCATTATATTGACTGTGCTGGTTAGGGTTCTCTAGAGAAACAGAGCTAACAGGATAGAGGGAAGATAGATAGGTAAAGATATAAATGTAGTTATTTTTTTTAAGTTTCTACTTTATTGACTCTTGGGGTCAGCATTCTTTTTTTTTTCAATATTTTATTCATTTTATTTTTAGAGAGGGAAGGAAGGGAGAAAGAGAGAGAGAGAGAGAGAGAGAAAGAGAAACATCAATGTGCGGTTGCTGGGGGCCGTGGTCTGCAACCCAGGCATGTGCCCTGACTGGGAATCGAACCTGTGGCATTTTGGTTCCCAGCCCGCGCTCAATCCACTGAGCTACACCAGCCAGGGTAAATGTAGTTATTAATATAGATGTGAAGACTTATTTTGGGGAATTAGCTCAAGTCAGTTTACACTGATGGGTTCTGCTCTTGAAGGCAGAAAACGGCCTCCCTGCTACCGTCAGGGCGGGATGGGTCATTTTGAATCGTAAGAGGTGAACAGGAGCATTCTTTGTTTCTCCCGAAGCTGGCAATTGAGCAGTGCCAGGGATTAATTCAAGAAACCCTCCCGCTCCAGTGCTACTCCTGAAGTGCGCGGCAGGAGTGATAATTACTAGTGACAGAAGAGAAGAGGCCCCAGGACTCTTCAGGGGTTTCTCATCGCTTGTTTCAGAGTGAATTGTGACCTCTTTAGAGACGAACGCTTCCATGCTGTGTCTGGTAAAGTGCGTGGCACATAGTAACTCCACAGTAAACTCTTGTGCAGATGATATATGGACAAATAAATCAACATATCTTCCTGAGCGTCCTAAATAGGTTTATAAAGGAACGTTACTAGTTTATACGAATTAGACTTTGCTGGTGTGTGAAATTGCACCAAGATTTTACCCCAAAGATTTACCAAGAATATGTAGAAACTGCAAGATCATTCGTTGTTCTAGGCATCTGTGAGGAGGTGCTACATCTGATGTTTTCAGTATGACTTGTCTGTACAGGAAAATGACAGTAGGCATTACCTACTCCCCCCCACCACCCCCCGGTCAGATCAAAGTAGAATAAATGGCAAGAGAAGCAAAAGCATTGCATAATTTCTTTTTTTTTCCAAACAATTTTTGGGCTTTTTAAAAAATTTACTTATTTTTTAGAGAGGGAAGGGAGGGAGAAAGAGAGAGAAGGAGAAACATCAACGTGCGGTTGCTGGGGGCCATGACCTGCAACCCAGGCATATGTCCTGACTGGGAATCGAACCTGCGACACTTTGGTTCGCAGCCCGCGCTCAATCCACTGAGCTATGCCAGCCAGGGCATTGCATAATTTCTGATTGCATTTTTCAAATTAAAGAAAGCCTTCCAATCTGTCCTTTCTCATGGTATAACACTAACCTTTAAAATGTCCTTTTCTGCCCTGGCTGGTGTAGCTCAGTGGATTGGGCATGGGCCTGTGAACCAAATGGTCGCTGGTTCGATTCTCAGTCAGGGCACATGCCTGGGTTGCAGGCCAGGAGCCGCATGAGAGCCAACCACACATTGATATTCCTCTCCCTCCCTTTCCTTCTCTCTAAAAATAAATAAATAAAATCTTACAAGAATTTTTAAAAAACGTCCTTCTCCTTCACTTCAACAGTCCATTACTCATCAAAAAATAAATCGGAGTCGACGATGTGCCCAGGCTGGGGGACCCCTGGACGACGGCAGCGTTGCCATCAGATGACCCGTCTCCGTTTCTGTGTGCGGTGGCGTTTCCTTCCAGGGAGGGGGCAGGCGAGTCTCGTCGTCAGCAGGAGCTTTGCGAAGTGCAGTTGTAAAGCGATCATGACCGAAAATGATCTATTCCCCAAACGTCCCTGCTGAGCTACAGACTTTAATATTATTTTTATCATCCGGTGTCAAATTTTACCATATAAATTGGGCACATCTCAAACTTAAGTCTTAATTGATGAGACTGTATGATAAATAAAGGATACAAAGGAAAAGTGCATATAAAATACATATATTATCATGTATTTTACTTAAATGTGTCAGGCAGTTAAAAAGTATTCACCAAGTACAATTGGATATGTGTTAAACAAACCATCCTGTTGTGTAGACGTTTAATTTTTAGAAAATTTTTTCTAGTCAGCCACATCTGCAGATTCCATCAGTTGATCTGTGTGTGTGTGTGCACGTGTGTGTGTGTGCACGTGTACATGTGAGTGCGCATGAGAAGACGTGCGGGAGAACAGGTCACTTCCCATCTGTAGCCGTGCTTCCCTGCTCACCCATTCAGCTTGGAATTCTCTTTCCCAGCCTTGTAGCGATATAATTGACATATAACATTGCGTAAGTTACATGTGTACGAGGGGATGACTTGATATCTTTGTTATTGTGAAATAATGATCACAGTATTAGTGTACACGTCCATCACCTCACAGAGTTACCACGGTGCGTGTGTGTTGCACGCGTGTGTGTGGTGGCCTTCAACATGGAACGCATGCCTTGGACAGTGCGAGAAGAAATGGTGGGCCACCGGAGTCTGAGAAGAAACCGTCAGAACTGCAGTTTGTGGTTATTTTTACTCAAGTGGAGGCACACACAAAGGTTTATTATATAAATAACACATGCGGGTGCTGGAGGCTTCAGTCTGCGCAAGCAAAATTAAAAACCGTATTACTTATTATTTTTACTATTTAATTTCCTGAAGCTGACCTTCACAAAATGGACAAGCTGCTTAAAGAGATTCCTTCCAAGAAGCCTCGGCCTGAACGTAACCAGCCATCATCCCAGCTCCTTGTCTGATGCGTACTGGGTGGGTCAGGAAAAACTAATGCTTTCTAATCTAATCTTACTATCTCCTGGTACCTGACATTTATTTTTAAACATAATCACATTTTATTAGTTTTTTCTCGGATAATGGGGCTTTTTTTCTACAGTGAGTAAGAAAAGAAAAAGAAAAAAAACTCTGGCCAAGGAGAGAGCGTTTTGAAGATAGATATGTGGAGATATTTTGTTGCAAACATGTCACCCATGAAAACTCCTGTTGCTCTTCCCGTCAAAGGAGACTTAGCAGCCATTGTCTAACCTGTGACTCAAGGAATGCAGAAGTACAGCACAAATACCCACAATATTTTAGCCTAATTCTGTAGGGTTTGCAAAACATGCGTCATGATTATTAATGCAGCCAGTGGTACATTTCTTCTATTCATATTTAAGTGTTTTTAAGATATTTTATTTAGCTGATATCCCCAAATGTCAGCTTTGAAACCCAGACACCAAAACACACTCCATTTAGAAAATGAGTATTTTGGATGCTGTATGAAAATACTGAGACACTTTCAGCAAGAAGGTTTTGTACACTTAGCCAATAAATGATTTAAGTGTTTGACTCATTTTTTACAAATGATTTTTTGTGTATATGTTTGAATGTATGCAATTTATTAGCTTGATCGTATGTGAAGTTTGTGTTAAATAAATGCATATACTGAGTGTGCATTCTCAATTATTTTTCTTTTTTCTGACAGAAATGACTTCAGAAAAGTTTAGAGACCACCAGAAATAATCTCCATAATCAATTTTATTGATTATGCTATTACAGTTGTCCCATTTCCCCCCTTAACTCCCCTCCACCCTGCACATCCCCTCCCACCCACATCCCCCCCTTTAGTTCATGTCCATGTGTCATAAGTTCTTTAGCTTCTACATTTTCCATACTATTCTTGTCCTCCCCCTGTCTATTTTCTACCTCCCATCTATGCTACTTATTCCCTGTAGCTTTTCCCCTTCTCTCCTCCTCCCACTCCCTGTTGCTAACCCTCCATGTGATCTCCATTTCTGTGGTTCTGTTCCTGTTCTAGTTGTTTGCTTAGTTTGTTCTTGTTGTAGGTGTGGTGGTTAATAATTGTGAGTTTGCTGTTATTTTACTGTTTATATTTTTGTTTTCTTTTTCTTAGATAAATCCCTTTGACATTTCATGTAATAAGGGCTTGGTGATGATGAACTCTTTTAACTTGACCTTATCTGAGAAGCACTTTATCTGTCCTTCCATTCTAAATGAAAGCTTTGCTGGATAGAGCAATCTTGGATGTAGGTCCTTGCCTTTCATGACTTGGAATACTTCTTTCCAGCCCCTTCTTGCCTGCAAGGTCTCTTTTGAGAAATCAGCTGACAGTCTGATGGGAACTCCTTTGTAGGTGACTGTCTCCTTATCTCTTGCTGCTTCTAGGATTCTCTCCTTCATTTTAATCTTGGGTAATGTAATTATGATGTGCCTTGGTGTGTTCCTCTTTGGGTCCAACTTCTTTGGGACTCTCTGAGCTTCCTGGACTTCCTGGAAGTCTATTTCCTTTGCCAGATTGGGGAAGTTCTCCTTTATTATTTATTCAAATAAGTTTTCCACGTTGCTCTTTCTCTTCCCCTTCTCGCATCCCTATAATTTGTATGTTGGAATGTTTAAAGATGTCCTGGAGGTTCCTAAACCTGTCCTCATTTTCTTTGAATTCTTGTTTTTTTATTCTTTTCTGGTTGGATGTTTCTTTTTTTCCTTCTGGTCCACTCCATTGATTGGAGTCCCAGTTTCCTTCCTATCACTATTGGTTCCCTGTATATTTTCCTTTATTTCACTTAGCATAGCCTTCATTTTTTCATCTAATTTGTGACCAAATTCAACCAATTCTGTGAGCATCCTGATTACCAGTGCTTTGAACTGTGCATGTGATAGGTTGGCTACCTCTTTGTCACGTAGTTGTATTTGTTCTGGACTTTGACCTGTTCTTTCATTTGGGCCTTTCTTGTCGCACCTGTTACGTAGTCATGGGCGAAGCCTTAGGTGTTCACCTGGGTGGGGCAGCCCACGTGGCTGCATTGTGACTCTGTGTGTGGGGGAGGGGTCCGAGAGGGAACCATGGCACTTGCTCAGCTCTGGGCCAGATTCCAGTCACTTCCCCCCTTCCCACAAGCAAAGTGGGCCCTCCTGGTGCTGATTCCCGAGTGGGTGGGTTTGTGTCCGTCCTGGGACCCCGTGGGTCTCTCCAGTGAACTCTCTTGCGAGGCTGGGCATTTCTCCTGGCACCTTTCAGGTGGTGTTTTGAGGCTTTATTTCCCCACACTGGAGCCCTGGGTTGCATGGTCCGTCCCGCTCCCCCTTCGTTTCTCCTGGTTTACCTGCCTGAGAATGTGGGACCGTTGGGTCTGCCAGCCGCCACCTTGCCGGGAGCCCTCTCTGCCCGGCCGCCCGACTCCACCCCTCCTACCGGTCTGGATGAATGTTTCTTCTTTAACTCCTTGGTTGTCAGACTTCCATACAGTTTGATGTTCTGTCAGTTCTGGTTGTTTTTTTTTTTTTTTTAATTGTTGTCCTTATTTTGGTTGTGTGAGGAGGCACAGTGTGCTACCTACGCTTCCATCTGGGCTGGAAGTCTCAAGGGATTTTTAATTACATAGATCTGGGAATGCTAAGTTCTCCTTTTTTCCTGCGACGTAGTCTGTAAGTCGCCCACTTTTTGTCTCTGGTTTTATTGTCGTGTATTTTTTAATTGTTCTGTATTCTTTAAAAATCATATATTTTTTTCTTTTTGACTTCCTACTAGATTATTCTGTGCATCTTTTTTAGGAACACCTCATTATCACTTAGGTGTGAAAAGTGTTTTTACACGCTTCCATCTTCTTCCACAGCTGGGGGCCAGCTCCCGGTCCGCACATACCTGGGAGTCCCTCAGGCCATGAGACACGCACAGCACCTCCCTGCCGGTCCCTGGAACAGGTCCCCCATTTCCATTCCCGGGAGGATCAAGCTGAGCTATTTTTCCTTCTTCACCTTCTGTGACGCCTGCTCTTAAACCTCCAGCTGGTCCACCCCCGTCAGAACATCTCTGCATTCATAAATAACACACGTCCACCCGCATGCATCTAACTGAGTCCTCTTGGGTTACTGCAGCAAGTCCCGAGATGCCAGGGGGTGTCGACACCTCTCCCCCCAGAGAGCACGCTCTGCAGAGGTCTGCAGCGGGACTGCTAAATACTTCGTATTTTCAGAAGTGTGTTGCAAAAAGATTTTACTAAGAAGAACAGTTTGGCCTTTTTCATTTTGCCATTTTTTTTATTTATGATTTAAAAGGGTTGTATAAAAGAAGTATGCATTGTGAATGAATTAAATGCAACTGAATTAAATCAATACTTATGTACAGAGAAGTACAATAATTAAAAAAAAGTAGTGGGAAAGGAAGTATTTTTTCTCTTTCCTGTAGCTGCACTATTGAGCATAAATGCGACTCAAAATACAAGAAATGGGACGGCAGCTTCTTCCAGTAAATCCCAGGCGTCCGGGGAGGCTCGCAGCCTCCCCCGGGGAGGGCCACGGAATCGCTGGGACTCCCATCAGGGCCACGCTCCAGCGGCCGTCCATATAAAACACCCGAACCGTCAGGAACGAAACACGCGGGGGACGTCCTGGGAGGAAGTGAGGGGTCAGGAGTTGAAAGGCGTTGGGTTAATTACGTTGCATATTGCTCTTCACTGGGGTTGCCTCGGAAGTTTCTCCAGGTGCACTGTCCTGGGAAAGGGGGGCCCCGGGTCCCTGCTGCATGTCACATAGTCTGAAAAACGGGGTGAATGTAAAATTTCAGGCAGTCACAGTGCTGTGCTACTCTGATCGTGTTAAAATTCTGTTATTTTTTTTAAAAATTCATGTTCTCATGGAATGTTCTGGTATGTTACATGATTGCTTGCTATCCTACTCATATAATTCTCCGTTAGCATATTTCCACAAACATTTATTGCAAAATGTATTTCCTTGTGGACTGCATCCAAGTCTTCAAAATTCCAAAACAGTGTGTTCCGTTCACCTTGTGAGTCATCAGATAACGGCCACTGCCAGAGGTAAGTTCTTTTCTCTCCCTCCCAGAGGTAAGATTTTCGCACAGAAAGACCAAAGGTCTGATCTGAAAAAGCAATCTCCTTCTTCCCACCTTTTCCGTGCATTTCCTAAACTTAGAAAT